TCATGGTAGCAAAGAATTTTCAGTAACCACCAGAGACTCGCCCTGATGACAGCGACTGGTGCCCTGCCTTGGTCTGGCATCCCTGCTTACCTGCTCCACCATCCTGCCGTGGCTGATGCCTGCTGCCGGCTGCTGCCAGCACTGTGTTGCTGATGCCTGCCATGTTCCATGCCGCCCCCTGGTGATCAATGCACGTTTAACTCACAGTTGGTCGCACTCCAGCCTATTCAGTCTATTTGCATATTACCCTTTTATTATATAAGATATATATATATATGTATATGTATATATATATATATTTCATTATAGGCAATCATATATATGCAAATGATGTTAAAATATTTATAAAAGTCTGGATTTATTAAACCTTTGCCTGACAATTATTGTTTGGGGTTATGTGGTGTGTATGCTTGTGATCACATTCTAATATTTGTCCGTAGGGGATTAGAAAGAGAGTCCAGGCCACAGCTGCCCAAGTCCTAGTCTATGCTGTTGAAGCCCTACCTATAATCGGCAAACAGCAATCAAGGAGAAAGGTACACTGTTATGTACGCTGATGGCTTGCGCTGTGGGAACCAAGCTCAATCACTGATGATAATTTAATCTTTATCATCAGCGAAGGACACAGGACATAGGTAGGTCAGTGTTGCCTCCTTTCTGAGGAGACCACATCTGAACTGACGGAGGCAATAACTGGGAGATGAGAATTCCAAGAAGAAATTCCAGAGGCCATGAGCTGGGAAAAGGATTTATCTGACATCTTATGTAAAAACCAACAAACAAGTCATAAAAAAACCAAAAACGGATACGCTGACAATCTCTATTTTAATAATTAACTCATGTAATCTTCTTGACATGGCACCTCCAAGTTTACCCGTGATAAACAAATGACTCAGAGGAAGAATGATTCATTCATAATGGATTCCTAAGTGTTGCAGATACATCTTTAAAATGGAAAGGTACTGATTTAATCTCTACAACGTGTAAGGTGCCATAATGAGAAGGCAAGGCCCTGACCTCAATAGACCCAGTCTAGCTCGTATTCAGAAGTTTCTGCTAATCTTGAACCGAAATCAACATTGTCTTTGTTCTAATTACCCGCAGGTGTAGCTTAGAAAAACTTACTGTGGTAATGCAGAAGCATGTTCTCATCTGACGTTCAAGCTGCTGAAACAAATGAGTGGCAATAGAGCATGATAATGTCTTAAAATGTTCAATGTTTATCCTTTCTGAAT